AACGTTTAGGTATGCTCTGCTGGCACTTGGACGTGAGTTCTGGACTCGAATCGAGTTCTATATTAGAGTTCTGGTACAGATCTATTATAAACGAAAGAGTTCTAGCTTCTAGCCTTTCTAAATAATTTAAAACAATAAAAATAGTTTTTTTTTTTCATAATTTCCAACGTTTAGGTATGCTCTGCTGGCACTTGGACGTGAGTTCTGGACTCGAATCGAGTTCTATATTAGAGTTCTGGTACAGATCTATTATAAACGAAAGAGTTCTAGCTTCTAGCCTTTCTAAATAATTTAAAACAATGAAAATAGTTTTTTTTTTCACATTTTCCAACGTTCTGGTATGCTCTGCTGGCACTTGGACGTGAGTTCTGGACTCGAATCGAGTTCTATATTAGAGTTCTAGTACAGATCTATTATAAACGAAAGAGTTCTAGCTTCTAGCCTTTCTAAATAATTTAAAACAATAAAAATAGGTTTTTTTTTCATAATTTCCAACGTTCAGGTAGCTGCTGGCACTTGGACGTGAGTTCTGGACTCGAATCGAGTTCTATATTAGAGTTCTGGTACAGATCTGTTTATAAACGAAAGAGTTCTAACTTCTAGCCTTTCTAAATAATTTAAAACAATGAAAATAGTTTGTTTTTTCATATTTTCCAACCTTCAGGTATGCTCTGCTGGCACTTGGACGTGAGTTCTGGACTCGAATCGAGTTCTATATTAGAGTTGTGGTACAGATCTATTATAAACGAAAGAGTTCTAGCTTCTAGCCTTTCTAAATAATTTAAAACAATAAAATAGGTTTTTTTTTTTTTTCATAATTTCCAACGTTCTGGTATGCTCTGCTGGCACTTGGACGTGAGTTCTGGACTCGAATCGAGTTCTATATTAGAGTTCTGGTACAGATCTGTTATAAACGAAAGAGTTCTAGCTTCTAGCCTTTCTAAATAATTTAAAACAATAAAAATAGTTTTTTTTTCATAATTTCCAACGTTTAGGTATGCTCTGCTGGCACTTGGACGTGAGTTCTGGACTCGAATCGAATTCTATATTAGAGTTCTGGTACAGATCTATTTTATAATACATATATCGTTTATACGAAAGAGTTCTAGCTTCTAGCCTTTCTAAATAATTTAAAACAATAAAAATAGGTTTTTTTTTCATATTTTCCAACGTTCTGGTATGCTCTGCTGGCACTTGGACGTGAGTTCTGGACTCGAATCGAGTTCTATATTAGAGTTCTGGTACAGATCTATTATAAACGAAAGAGTTCTAGCTTCTAGCCTTTCTAAATAATTTAAAACAATAAAAATAGGTTTTTTTTTTCATAATTTCCAACGTTTAGGTATGCTCTGCTGGCACTTGGACGTGAGTTCTGGACTCGAATCGAGTTCTATATTAGAGTTCTGGTACAGATCTGTTATTAACGAAAGAGTTCTAGCTTCTAGCCTTTCTAAATAATTTAAAACAATAAAAATAGGTTTTTTTTTCATAATTTCCAACGTTTAGGTATGCTCTGCTGGCACTTGGACGTGAGTTCTGGACTCGAATCGAGTTCTATATTAGAGTTCTGGTACAGATCTATTATAAACGAAAGAGTTCTAGCTTCTAGCCTTTCTAAATAATTTAAAACAATAAATAATAGGTTTTTTTTCATATTTTCCAACGTTTAGGTATGCTCTGCTGGCACTTGGACGTGAGTTCTGGACTCGAATCGAGTTCTATATTAGAGTTCTGATACAGATCTATTATAAACGAAAGAGTTCTAGCTTCTAGCCTTTCTAAATAATTTAAAACAATAAAAATAGGTTTTTTTTTTCATAATTTCCAACGTTTAGGTATGCTCTGCTGGCACTTGGACGTGAGTTCTGGACTCGAATCGAGTTCTATATTAGAGTTCTGATACAGATCTGTTATAAACGAAAGAGTTCTAGCTTCTAGCCTTTCTAAATAATTTAAAACAATAAAAATAGGTTTTTTTTTCATAATTTCCAACGTTTAGGTATGCTCTGCTGGCACTTGGACGTGAGTTCTGGACTCGAATCGAGTTCTATATTAGAGTTCTGGTACAGATCTATTATAAACGAAAGAGTTCTAGCTTCTAGCCTTTCTAAATAATTTAAAACAATAAAAATAGGTTTTTTTTCATAATTTCCAACGTTTAGGTATGCTCTGCTGGCACTTGGACGTGAGTTCTGGACTCGAATCGAGTTCTATATTAGAGTTCTGGTACAGATCTATTATAAACGAAAGAGTTCTAGCTTCTAGCCTTTCTAAATAATTTAAAACAATAAAAATAGGTTTTTTTTTCATAATTTCCAACGTTTAGGTATGCTCTGCTGGCACTTGGACGTGAGTTCTGGACTCGAATCGAGTTCTATATTAGAGTTCTGTTACAGATCTATTATTAACGAAAGAGTTCTAGCTTCTAGCCTTTCTAAATAATTTAAAACAATAAAAATAGGTTTTTTTTTTCATAATTTCCAACGTTTAGGTATGCTCTGCTGGCACTTGGACGTGAGTTCTGGACTCGAATCGAGTTCTATATTAGAGTTCTGGTACAGATCTATTATAAACGAAAGAGTTCTAGCTTCTAGCCTTTCTAAATAATTTAAAACAATAAAAATAGGTTTTTTTTTCATAATTTCCAACGTTTAGGTATGCTCTGCTGGCACTTGGACGTGAGTTCTGGACTCGAATCGAGTTCTTTATTAGAGTTCTGGTACAGATCTATTATAAACGAAAGAGTTCTAGCTTCTAGCCTTTCTAAATAATTTAAAACAATAAAAATAGGTTTTTTTTTCATAATTTTCCAACGTTTAGGTATGCTCTGCTGGCACTTGGACGTGAGTTCTGGACTCGAATCGAGTTCTATATTAGAGTTCTGGTACAGATCTATTATTAACGAAAGAGTTCTAGCTTCTAGCCTTTCTAAATAATTTAAAACAATAAAAATAGGTTTTTTTTTCATAATTTCCAACGTTTAGGTATGCTCTGCTGGCACTTGGACGTGAGTTCTGGACTCGAATCGAGTTCTATATTAGAGTTCTGGTACAGATCTATTATAAACGAAAGAGTTCTAGCTTCTAGCCTTTCTAAATAATTTAAAACAATAAAAATAGGTTTTTTTTTTCATAATTTCCAACGTTTAGGTATGCTCTGCTGGCACTTGGACGTGAGTTCTGGACTCGAATCGAGTTCTATATTAGAGTTCTGGTACAGATCTATTATAAACGAAAGAGTTCTAGCTTCTAGCCTTTCTAAATAATTTAAAACAATAAAAATAGGTTTTTTTTTCATAATTTCCAACGTTTAGGTATGCTCTGCTGGCACTTGGACGTGAGTTCTGGACTCAAATCGAGTTCTATATTAGAGTTCTGATACAGATCTGTTATTAACGAAAGAGTTCTAGCTTCTAGCCTTTCTAAATAATTTAAAACAATAAAAATAGGTTTTTTTTTCATAATTTCCAACGTTTAGGTATGCTCTGCTGGCACTTGGACGTGAGTTCTGGACTCGAATCGAGTTCTATATTAGAGTTCTGGTATAGATCTATTATAAACGAAAGAGTTCTAGCTTCTAGCCTTTCTAAATAATTTAAAACAATAAAAATAGGTTTTTTTTTCATAATTTCCAACGTTTAGGTATGCTCTGCTGGCACTTGGACGTGAGTTCTGGACTCGAATCGAGTTCTATATTAGAGTTCTGGTACAGATCTATTATAAACGAAAGAGTTCTAGCTTCCAGCCTTTCTAAATAATTTAAAACAATAAAAATAGGTTTTTTTTTTCATAATTTCCAACGTTTAGGTATGCTCTGCTGGCACTTGGACGTGAGTTCTGGACTCAAATCGAGTTCTATATTAGAGTTCTGATACAGATCTATTATTAACGAAAGAGTTCTAGCTTCTTGCCTTTCTAAATAATTTAAAACAATAAAAATAGGTTTTTTTTTCATAATTTCCAACGTTTAGGTATGCTCTTCTGGCACTTGGACGTGAGTTCTGGACTCAAATCGAGTTCTATATTAGAGTTCTGATACAGATCTGTTATTAACGAAAGAGTTCTAGCTTCTAGCCTTTCTAAATAATTTAAAACAATAAAAATAGGTTTTTTTTCATAATTTCCAACGTTTAGGTATGCTCTGCTGGCACTTGGACGTGAGTTCTGGACTCGAATCGAGTTCTTTATTAGAGTTCTGGTACAGATCTATTATAAACGAAAGAGTTCTAGCTTCTAGCCTTTCTAAATAATTTAAAACAATAAAAATAGGTTTTTTTTCATAATTTCCAACGTTTAGGTATGCTCTGCTGGCACTTGGACGTGAGTTCTGGACTCGAATCGAGTTCTATATTAGAGTTCTGGTACAGATCTGTTATAAACGAAAGAGTTCTAACTTCTAGCCTTTCTAAATAATTTAAAACAATGAAAATAGTTTGTTTTTTCATATTTTCCAACCTTCAGGTATGCTCTGCTGGCACTTGGACGTGAGTTCTGGACTCGAATCGAGTTCTATATTAGAGTTCTGATACAGATCGGTGATAAGCGAAAGAGTTCTAGCCTTTTACAATAATTTGAAACAATAAAAATGGTATGTTCTGACTTTTCAAAAATTCGGATATGATCTGCTGGAACTTGGCTGAGAGTCCAGAACTATTCCTGAAAAGTATCAGGAACTGTAGAACTCAGCTCCTTGCGCGAAGAACTCACATTTGTTTTTGATTTTCTGCAAAATGATCTGCTACGGGAAGTTAGCAGATCATTTTGTCAATTGACTTTTTTTAAGGTAAAAACGCCAGAACTATTTCTAAAAAGTATCAGGAACTATAGAACTCTCGTGCATGCGAATAGAACTCACTTTTTTTTTTGATCTGCTGGACAATGATCTGCTAAGTTCACTGACATGGCGATTCTGAGATCGAACCCCGGTTTCGACGTAGTAAAATTTTATAAATTATTTTAATATTTATTTTCTGTGAATATTAAACAATATTATTAAGCAGTATGAATGAATTAACGAAGACAAAAACTAATAAGATGAAATTCGAATGTTGCAACCGTCAACAGAACTCAAACGAATTTATAATATGCTCGCAATGTTTGAAGAAATATCACTATGCATGTATAGCAACGACTACTACTTTACAATACAAAGAAGTTACTAATGACTTTAAAGCGAACTGGCTGTGTCCTGAATGCAATCGTCCCAGAGCCGGCTTAGATAACTCAAACACACCTGTTCGAGCAGCATCCACTCTTTCCAACGATAAACATGACTCCTCCTTGAATGTGACAGTTAGAAATAAACAGAAACTTACTAAGGCATCCGACACCGACTCCTCGTTAACATCCGCCGATGTTCGACAAATCATTAGGGAAGAGTTAAACACAATTTTCGGTGCATTTCAATCAAAAATAGAAACTCAACTTAGTAATAAAATATCCGAAATATTGAGCCAGATTACCCAAGTCACAGAATCTATATCATTTATGGAAAAAGAATATGAGGAAGTGAGACGGGAGATGCAACAAAAAATAGAAATAATCAATCAGTTGGAATCGGAAAACAAGAATTTACGCAGCTACATCCAAGAAGTTGATTCGAGGATGTCTCAAATAGAAAGGCACTCCCGGGCGAGCAATGTAGAAATACAATGCCTTCCCGAACACAAGAATGAAAACTTGATCACTACAGTGAAACAATTAGCCCACACTATTAAATATAATCTCGTTGAATCAGACATTCATCTATGCACAAGAATATCTAAGATTCAAAAAAATAGTAACCGACCACGATCAATTATAGTAAAATTTAGTTGCCCTAGAATTCGTGACGGCTTTTTAGCAGCCGCTATCGCATTCAACAAGAGAAATAGTAGTGACAAACTAAACACTAGTCATATTGGAATGGGAGGTGAACATAAACCAATATACGTTACGGATCACTTATCCCCGTCAATGAAGGCCTTGCATGCAGCTGCGAGAACTAAAGCAAAAGAACTGAAATATAAATATGTGTGGGTTAAAGGTGGTCATGTATATATGCGGAAAAGTGACTCTTCTGACTATAAGTTTATTAAAAATATGGATACTTTAAAAAGCTTAAATTAGGTTTTATATATAATTGTTAGTACTAAGCATGATGTTTTGTTTATAGTTATTTAAAATTCGATTCAATCCACTGTTATTATCAAAATGTTCGTGGCTTAAAATCATTTTTATCTGAGGTACGATTGCAAATCTTAAGTAATAACTACGATATAATTGTGTTAACCGAAACGTGGCTATGTGATGGCATTGTCAACGCTGAAATCTTTGATAACAGATATGAGGTTTATAGACGTGATCGAGATACTTCTTCTTTTAGTAAAAATAAGAAAACGGGTGGTGGTGTGCTCATAGCAGTCTCTAACCGGTTCGCTTCTTACCGTGAATCCAGCTGGGAGAGTAACTGTGAAGACCTATGGGTAACGGTTGAGGTAAGAATGAACAACAAAACCATATCCCTACATCTATGTTGTGTATATCTGCCCCCTCCAATCCATATGACTCTTCTTGACAATTTTTTGGAAAATGCGAATAATGTACTAGACAAGAATAATAACAATTTAACTCTCATATTGGGAGACTTTAACCTGAGTGGCATACTTTGGACCAAAGTGATCAACACAACCTATACTGAACCGGCCAATTACAGTAACTGCTCTTTAAAATCTGCTTTAGTGGATTTCATGTCTCTAAATAATTTAAATCAATATAATTTTGTGCAAAATCATCAAAATAAAATACTTGATTTGGTATTGTGTAACGAGGACATTGTTACAATATGTGAAAGTCAAAATTCATTAAAACATTGTGACAAATACCATCCACCTATTGACATTTCAATTAATATACCTATCGCAAGAAATTCCAAATTAGCTTCGAGAAATAAGTACAGGTTTCATAAAGCTGATTATGAGAGAATCATGGCAGAATTGGATGAAATTGATTGGGTTCAAGTATTTTACAATTGTAACGATGTTAATGAAATGCTTAGTACATTCTATGTGATCATTAGGGAAGTAATAAAGAGACATGTACCTATGAGGAATAACAAAATCAATACTCATCCAATCTGGTATACCCCCCAACTAATAAAATTGCTTCATCGAAAGTATAAATATCATTTGAAGGTAAAAAGATATCATAATCCATTGGATGTGTTAGAATTTCGCTATCTGAGAAGAGATTGTGATAGGCTTATAACAATATGTTATAACAATTACATTTGTAATATAGAAAACGAAATAGGCAAAAACCCAAAGTATTTCTGGACCCATTTAAAGAATCTCCGTAAAACCAAGAGTGCATATCCACCCGTGATGACATCAATGGAACTAAAGCTACAACAGTTGACTCTATATGCGATCTCTTTGCGAAACACTTTTCATCCGTATACGAGAATGATAACACAATTACTAGTGAGTTCAGAAATGTAGGTACGGCCATTAATACATCTAGTGATATTGACACTTTCGAATTGACACGAGACTTGATTTATAAAAAATTAAAGAGACTTGACTTAAATAAGGGGGCGGGACCAGATAACATACCACCTTTATTTTTATCCAAGTGCGCGTACCAACTCTCCTTGCCATTATTCCTTATTTTCAATCGATCTTTAAAAGATGGCCTGTTTCCTGACAAATGGAAAATAAGTAGAATTGTTCCAGTACACAAGTCTGGCAGAAAAGACGTGGTGAGTAACTATCGACCCATCTCAATCATATCTTCAATGGCAAAAGTATTTGAATCCCTCGTCTATGCACATATTTATAATCATATTAACAGTACTTTACACAAAGAACAGCATGGTTTTATGTCTCAACGTTCGACCAACACAAATTTATTGCTGCACGTTTCTTTTATATCTGACAACATCGATCAGGGCAATCAAGTAGATGTCGTTTATGCAGACTTCTCGAAAGCATTTGACAAGGTTAACCACAGATTACTTTTAAAAAAACTTTCTGCATACGGGATATCAAAACAAGCTCCTGGCATGGTGCGAAAACGTATCTTATTGGCAGATCTTCCACCGTGGTAATAGATGGTCACCAATCGCAAACGTTTTGCAATTTTTCAGGTGTCCCTCAAGGATCCAATCTCGGTCCATTGTTTTTTATTATTTTTATTGACGACATCATCAATATTTTCAAATATAGCACCGCAAGCCTATTTGCCGATGATTTAAAACTATTGCGTGTCGTTAAAGGAATGGATGACCAGTACTTACTTCAAGAAGATATACATAGATTGACTGAATGGTGCAAAATGAACAGAATGTACCTTAACATTGAAAAATGTCATCATATTAAGTTTACGCGTAAGAAGAAAATTACACCATCTAAATATTACATTGACCAACATGAATTAACTGAATTATTACAAATACGAGATCTGGGTGTGATGATGGATAGTCGCATTACTTTTGGTCCTCATATTGACCATTGTCTCGATTTGGCCAATAAGTCTCTTGGCTTTATTATGAGGTCCTCAAAAACCTTTAAGAATCCAATAACGACTTTAAAGTTATTCAATAGTCTTGTTCGCAGTCGACTTGAATACTGTTCTCTCATATGGTCACCTTACAAGAAAAGCCACACCACTAGACTGGAATCTGTGCAAAAGCGTTTGTTGCGGCAACTATCATATAGATATAAATTAAAATTAAATAGCTATGATGAAAGACTTAAACATTTTAATATTAATAGTCTTAAAAATAGGAGAGAAATGTTAGCAATGACTTTTCTCTATAAAGTCCTAAATAATGAAGTTGACTGTTCCGATATTTTTAATAAATTTGCATTCCACGTCCCTCCTAAAATACCCCGACATCCGTGCAACTTGTTAGAAGTAGGTGTCTACAGAACTCACATGGGAAAGAATTCCCCTGTGCCAAGAATGTCGAGATTATACAATAATATCACAAAAAAAATCTTAAGCGTAGACATATGCCATGACAGACTACCTCAATTTAAGCGCAAAGTTATCGAATATTTATCAGAATTGTAACCCTTCGACTTATCGCCAATCGTTACTACGATAAATTATGATATATTTTTTTTTTATTACTTTGTTTTGTGCGTTGCTATTAATTCTAATCCCAAATTGAATTTACTTGTTTTATTGGACTAACTATTTAAATATTATTAACTTATTTATTCTAATTATATTATGTCTAATTAAGTAATTTTTTATATTTAAATTGTCATGTATTAATTTTATATTTTAATTTTCAACTTTATTCATTAACGTATTATTATGATTTAATTTTAAATTTCCATTTTATATTTAACTGTTATTGACGTGATTTAAAAAAAAAGAGCATGCTGTGATAACCTATCACTAAAAGAACATTAATGAAATTGTTAACACATGAATATTATGCCGCTTTTAATGTATCTTTTGTTGGTTGTCCTTTAATAAATAAATAAATAAATAAATAATGAGAATAATAATAATATATTGAATACCCATACTAATATTATAAGTGTGAAAGTGTGTTTTGTCCAAAGTTTGTCCTTCTTGCACGTCGAAACGGCTTAGCGAATTGGCGTGATTTTTTGTGACTTTTTATCACGGGAGATTATCTCATTCCCACTGG